GGTCAGACATAAAGTTGGGGGGTGGGGTCAAAGGTGATACCTTGTTTTTGGGAACAAAGGCCAGAATGGGACTGCCTTTTGCTGAGACCTTGAAAGTGGCAGGAGGAGGGGGGTTTGAGTTCCCTCTTGAACATGTTCCATTTTGAAATCTCCATTAGACAAGCCGCCCTGACAGCTGGGTACCTGAGGCCCAAGTTCAGGGAGAGGCCAGCTCGGGGGCAGAGAAGGGCCTGCAGGCCCCGCAGGGGAGGGCGGCGTGGGGTATGCAGTGGGCCTCACAGGTCCCAGGGATGGGGGGCCCGGAAAGGAGTGGTCAGCGAGGGCAGTGGGGACCGACTGCACAACTGAGCAGTGAACGCTGGGTTTGGCAGCACAGACGCCCCTGGTGACCTTTACGAGAACTGGGGAGGACACAGACTCGAGTGGAGTGTTTAAGAGAAGGTGGGAGGAAAGGCCATGCGGACAGTGAACGTAAATGCCCCTGAGGAGCTGCTGAAGCATGGAGGGTGGTTTAGGGTTTAGGATGGGGGTCCCCACAGACTGCCCGCCTGACCCCAGAGGCCCAGGCCGACGTGGGGTCCTGGGAGATGGGAGCATGGTGGAGGCGGTACGGAAGGGGGCTGGGGCCGGCTGGGCCTGGCGCTCTCCGAGTGTTCTTGGCTCAGAGTTAAGTTTACTGTCTGCAACGGGACCGTGTGCTTCGGGAGCAGGACATAAATTCTGATCGCGCGAGAGCAGCACCCGCACGGTTCCCTGCGAGCTTCTCTGCACGTGAGGATGCTTGCGATTTTGAGAGTAAACCACAGGGAGTTCTAACTGCCCTCTGGGCACCTGTGTTTTGTCTTAGATTCTACTGAGCTGCCCAAGCGCCTCAGCCTTGATAGCTCGTCCTCCCTGGAGTCTCTGGCCTCGGCCCAGTCAGTCTCCAACGCCCTGCCCTTGAGCTACCAGCATCCCCCCTTCTCCCCCACCGGCGCGGACAGCATCGCCTCCGACGCCATCTCTGTGTACAGTCTGAGCTCCATCGCCTCCTCCATGAGCTTCGTCTCCAAGCCCGAGGCTGGGTCGGAAGCGGGGGGTCCCCGCGGCCGGCAGGACTACGACCGCTCCAAGAACGCCTACCCACAGCGATGCACCCTGCCACGGGGCCAGCTGTCCCCCCAGACCCGCCCTGCCGGCAGCAAAGAAGAAGAAGAATACGAGGGCTTTTCCATCATCAGCACGGAGCCCTTGGCGGCCTACCAGGAAACCAGAAAGACGCGCTTCTCACCAGATCACAAACAGTGCCACGTGGGGCCAGCCGGAGGCGTGAAAGTTTCCGTAAGCTCCAAGGGGAGCGTCAGCACACCCAATTCTCCAGTTAAAATGACTCTGATTCCCAGCCCAAACTCCCCCTTCCAAAAGGTGGGAAAGCTGGCCAGTTCCGACACGGGAGAATCCGACCAGTCTAGCACAGAAACGGACAGCACCGTGAAATCCCAAGAAGAAAGCAACCCAAAGCTTGATCCGCAGGAGTTGGCGCAGAAAATTCTAGAGGAGACACAGAGTCATCTCATCGCGGTGGAGCGTCTGCAGAGGGGCGGCGGCCAGGCCAGCAAGAGCAGCAGCCCCGAGGAGGGCCTCGCGGCGCCCAACGGCGCGGCTGTCTTCCGAGCGTCGGAAACCAGCGCGTTCAGCAGGCCGGCCCTCTCCCACCCCAAGAGCCAGCCGTCGCCGGTCCCCGTGAAACCAAAGCCCCCCGCCAGGAGCTCGTCCCTCCCCAAGGTGAGTTCAGGATACAGCAGCCCCACGGCCTCCGAGGCGTCCGTCAAGGGCGGCCTGAGCCAGCACAGCGGCCGCCCGTCGCCCGGCTCCGACTCCCAGACTTCTCTCCCCGACCAGCCGCTCTTCAAACTGAAGTACCCCAGCTCTCCGTACAGCGCCCACATCTCCAAGTCCCCCCGGAACGCGTCCCCGAGCTCGGGCCACCAGTCTCCGGCCGGGAGCGCGCCGTCCCCAGCGCTCTCCTACTCCTCGGCCGGCTCGGCGCGCTCCAGCCCCGCCGACGCCCCCGACGTGGACAGGCTGAAGATGGCGGCCATCGACGAGAAGGTGCAGGCCGTCCACAATCTCAAGATGTTCTGGCAGAGCGCGCCCCAGCATCCCACGGGACCCGTGAAACTATTCCGGGGCGCCCCCGGCACGATGACTTCCAAGAGGGACGTGCTCAGCCTGCTCAACCTGTCCCCGCGGCACAAGAAGGAGGAGGAAGGCGTGGACAAGCTGGAGCTGAAGGAGCTGTCCCTGCAGCCGCCCGGAGAAGCGCCCCAGAAGGCCCCTCCGAACGGCCACTGGCGCACGGAGACCGCGGCGCTGGGCGCGCTGCCCCCGCCCGCCGGGCCCCCGGCGCCCGCCCGCCCGCTCAGACTGCCTTCTGGAAACGGCTACAAGTTTCTGTCCCCGGGAAGATTCTTTCCTTCCTCCAAATGCTGAAGCTTCTTCTGTACCCGCGGACTCAGGGTGCAGCAGCTGCGGGGGCCCTCCCCCTCGGGTGAGCGCGGTCACCCCACGCAACCGCCGCCACCTCACGCTGGGCGCGCCCTCGGGGTGCGGGCCCCACGCGCAGGGCCGCGGGCGACTCTGGGCCCCGCTCACCGGGAGCCGGGTCTCCTGTGGGGTTGGCACGGGAGGCCCAGGCAGTTTCCTACCCACTTCACCCGATGTTTACCTTGAACTCCCTGCTTCTCATCTTTGATGTGATTCTTCAACAGGATTTTTGTACGCAAACGGTCATGGTTCTGGGGTGGGGAGAGGAAAGGGAGCACATATTTTGCTAAGAGGTAGATACGCAGTACCTTTTATACACAGAAATACAAATAGAGCTTTTTTTCTTAAGGCTTTCAGGTGCTCGTTGGGGGTGGGATATATAAAATCTAAGTCGAATTCTACATGAAAGTGTGATATTAGCCAAAAACAGTGGTTTTTAAAATGCCAATGATGTGTCATGAAACTGTAGCATCCCCTGATCCGGGCCCCATCACAGTAGCAATGCAATAACTCACGTTTCCGCAGCGCTTCCTTCCTCAGCCCGGCTCTGCTCCGGCGAGCTCTGAGACGTCCATGGGGCCCCACTGTCAGCCAAACTTGAATTTTCTTAAAAATTTTATGTAACTTTTCTCCAGGCATTTTAGAACTATGCAATTGCGATTTAAAATGCAACTTTGTGCTTTTAAAACATTATTGACCTTTTTTGTACGTGGATAAACAACTCGGTTTTATTATCAATAGTACTTTGCATTTATAGCTATTATTTTTAAAAGCTCAAATTTTTTAAAATGTCCAATTTTGAATAGTCATCAATAAGTAACTGTCAAGTTTGGGGGGGAAAGGTTGAAATAGTCAGTTTCCTAGTAAACATAAAAAAACACAAAACAAAAAAAAACCCCAAAACTTCCACAGCTAACTCGACTTAACCAGAATGGAACTTCCAGCTCCCATCCCTCAGCAGCTGCTTCATTTTATTCTCTTCTCCCAACTCTAGGCCTCGAACACCTCTCTCCTCTAAGTCTGCCCCAGCTCCCATGCTCCGGCACCCCACATCTGCTAGCAGCCGGGCACCCTCCCCTTAGCCGGGACCAGCCCCCTCCCTTCCCACAGTACGTTCACGTTCACGTCCACGGCCTGGAAGCAGGGGGCTCTTACGGGAGGAGGGGGATGCCGTCCGAGTTACGGCTGAGCAAGGAAACATGTGTCCTGGACAAACGGGCGGACGGTCCTCCGGCTGTGACAGTACAGGGAAGTTGAAGCCGGCTGAGACGAGCGGTAGTCTGGGTGGGGGGGCCAGTGAGCATTAACTTATAAAGAAATGAAATGCTAAAAGTCCTATTAGTACTAATTTTAGTGGGAGAATTTAAACTCTTTTTACATAATTCTGAAACGAAAACCTGACCACTCTCCCCACGAGGCGGTGTCCCACACCACATGGAGTAGACAGGCAAGGCCTGGCAGGAGACCTCCAAGGAGAGATTTTAACCTTGGGTAGGATCTCACTTTCTAAACATACCATTCCTCTGTGTACCCTGAAAAGAGGAAAGAATATTTACTCAGCTATGTCACAGCGGTCTTTGCCTTTACCCCGTAGCCATGTTGGCAAAAGACACTAAGGATGTCCCGTTCTAGCCCTGACCCCAACACTGGAAGACAAATCCTTTATAAAGAAGCAAGTACTTGTGTGCAGTAGGGAACAAATAAACGGTAATAAAGTACCAGAGTAGCCAGTGGAAGCAAGTTTATAGCACTGTGCATTTAGATAGCAAAATCAGGTCCTCCGCAACAAAAACGAAACCTCAGTCAGTTTCTGAACCCGCGTAGATAGTTGGGCTGTTCCTTTCTCAGCCTCTTTCCCAAGTGCCAAGGAGCCCTGGAGGACAGGCCTAGGGTCTGTGCCCCCTGTGAGCGCACCGGTTTGCCCACCTCTGCGCACCCTCCGCCCCCCCTGACTACTTCCCATGGTTACCAAGCCAGCGAGGAGGACTCGTGGACCCCAACCTGTTTTTAGTCCTAACTATGTTGTTGTTTTAGGTTTCATGTTGGAAAACCAACTGGTGTGATTTTTTTTTTTTTTTTTGGTCCTAGATAGAAGTTTTGATGAAGGAAAGCAAACGTGATAAAAATGGTAGGAACAATCTGAAAATCACCGTAGAGTTGCCACTTCTTTATGTTTACTGTCAGTGTCGGTGTTTTCCTTGTGAGTGAGACGGACGTCACATCAAAGTTCCTTTTTCAGGCTCCTCCCCTGAAAAACACGTGCACCTAAAAATGACGTGAGACTGTTTAATTCACAGACTTCTTTGTGCAGATCAGGGGCAGGCAGACGATGACCCACAGGCTAAGTCGGCTCAGAGGCCGGGGTTGTTAGAGCCACGAGAAAGGACTGGATCGGACGTGTTTAAATCGTTCTGTCAGCACCGGCGTCATATTCCTGATTTTGCCTCGTGGCCGACAAAACCTAGAATACCTAATACGAAAAGGTTTGCTGACTCCTGGTGTAGGGGACAGACAACATAATTAGAATGTTTTGTTTCTAAGTGGCAAGTTGTGGTTAAACTTGTTATGCGTGGGCACCTGAGCCACGTGAGGAGAAGCGGAGGCCTCCCGCACAGCCCATGGCTCTCCGGCCCGTCTGGAATGAGCCAGTGGACATGGGTAAAATTTACAAAAAGATCTTTTCCTCACTATATGCGGAGAGCACTGGCCAGATTGCTTTCTCAGCTCAGGAAACGACTGTCCTGCCCCTGTTCCACTCCACCAGAGGCGAATACACTCAACACGAGCAATAAGACGTCCCTCTCCTAGGAACCCTGGTAGGACCACAGAGCCAGGCAGATCCTGTCTGAATCCGCACCAGCAAACCACTCAGCTCCTTCACTGACTTCAGTTAAGTCAAAAGTACCAAGACAAACTCCAAAACTCACATTTTGATCCACGTTAGTGTGTAGTGAAACAAAGTCCTCACCTGCGTCCCGTTTGAAACCATCGTGGTCCACGCGGATACTCCCTGGGTCTCGGCAGGGGAGGAGAGGCTGCGCACACTGTCCTTCCCCTGCTCGTGCTGTCCCCGTGGGTGTCGGTGGGGGGGGGGTCACTGTAGCAAGTCCCCTGTGAGGCTCCTGTCCCACCGCCTCCCACGGTCACTTTCTTAGTTTCAATTCAGTTTAGAGAAAATACCATGCAATACTCTGGTTGCTTTTAGTAAGCAGGCAGAGGGTGAAAATTGCCCAGTTTTCATCACACACGTTGTTGTTTTACCTACAAGGATTGTACGTGTGGTTTGTGGACCAGGCCCTTGTTTGCGACAGATCTTTCAAAGATGGTCCATGTAAGGACACAGGCGCTCACCTCTCCCCTCCTCAGACACCTCCCCCACTTGGCACTCACCCCCCCCTTGTATGCAGTGTTAGCCATCTTTGGCCTATGTGGACTTTTTTTTGTAAATTACAGTTTCCAGATGGCATTAAACTTTTTATATTACAAAATCTACCATGTAAAAAGAACTTCATATTTTTATTGAAATTGTTAAGGCACTTGGCCTTCCTTTGTGATTTCAGTGTCTATTAAAGCATGAGTTCCCTCGGTTTTAAGTGCCGTTATCTGAATCGCTTCCTGTACACATCCCACACTTTCTGGGTTTCTTCGAGCACACGGAACGGTTGTGTGTCATTAACAAGCAGTATGTCAGTCTGAAGTCTCCTGAGACATACACCCTAACCTCATGTTTGCTGGGAGGAAAGCTGGGGGTGCACACGGGCTTCGGCACCTCTGAGGCATGGGGCCCTGGGGTCGGTGGTGAATGACAGGACTGAATGCTTCTGATCTGTGATCACAGTTGGAGGACCAGAAAATTCCACAGTTGTGTAAGTGTGCTGATAAACAAAACCAGAGTTCATTACCACCAGATCCCTGTAACTAAAGAAGCTTCCAAAAGAAGTATTCCAGGAAGAAGGAAAACAATCCTCCGTGTAAAATCTGAGAGGCATGAAGGACTAGTGGACAGATGACTGAGTAAATGTGACTAAATTAAGAAAATATACTGATTGTATAAAAACAAACATCTCAGGGCACCTGGGTGGCTCAGTCGGTTAAGCATCTGACTTCGGCTCAGGTCATGGTCTGAAGGTCCTTGGATTGAGCCCATGTCTGTCTCTGCTCTCAGTGAGAAGCTGCTTCTCCCTCACCCTCTACCCCTACCCCCACCTGGGCTCTCTCTTTCTCTCTCAAATAAATAAAATCTTTAAAAACACCTAACATCTCATTGGAGTAGTAATAAAAAATTAAAATACTGGACAATAAAATGTAAAACTAGGAAGTTAAATTGTTATAGGCTGTTTAGGAAGAGAACAAAGAGTAGATTATTTGTTGTGAAAGTTAAATACATGAAAACACACAAATAGAAATAGAGGGTTATACCAAACTAGCTAGTGGAGGGGAAAAAAGTCGTTTTAAAAGTTTGGTTGATCTAAAGGAATAGAAAAAAGAGCAACAGAAACCATTTTTTAAAAGCAGGACAAATATTAAATGGCATAAAAGAAAGATTACTAGTAATTATAAATGTAATTTTAAAAAAATTTTTAAAGATTTTATTTATTTGACACAGAAAGATCACAAGTAGGCAGAGAGGCAGGCAGAGAGAGAGGGGAAGCAGACTCCCTGCTGAGCAGAGAGCCCGATTCGGGGCTCGATCCCAGAACCCTGAGACCATGACCTGAGCTGAAGGTAGAGGCTTAACCCACTGAGCCACCCAGACGCCCCCATATAAATGTAATTTTTTAAAAAAGATTATTTATTTAACAAAGACAGAGCAATAGAGGGAACACAAGAGGGGGGAGTGGGAGAGGGAGAAGCAGGCTTCCTGCCAAGCAGGGAGCCTGATGCGGGGCTTGATCCCAGGACCCTGGGATCATGACCTGAGCCAAAGGCAGATGCTTAACCAACTAAGCCACCCAGGCGCCCCAGTTATAAATGTAATTGAATGAACTAAACAAAAGAGAATGATGATGGCACTACGCCACATGCTCCTTAAAAAACGATATGCCTCTCCGGGGGTGGGGGGGACAAACAAACAAACAAACTTACCAAGCATAAGGCCCAATGGTTGACTACCAAAGGATCAACAAAATAGATAGAAAGTAAAAGGCACTAATAAAAACCAAGAAGACCCATTTTCTAATGTTAAAAAACCTTAGCAGAAGGGCAAAATTCTAAATTTTGTATGCAGCTAATCATATAATTTCAAAATTGATAAAGTAAAAATTGACAGAACTATGGGTTTGGAAGACTATACTATTATTATTACTATTATTATTTAACGATTTACTTACTTATTTTAGAGCGTGAGCAGATGGGGGAGGGGCAGACAATTCTAATGCAGGCTTCCTGCTGAGTGCAGAGCCCAACCTGGGGCTCCATCCCAGGACACTGAGATCATGACCTGAGCCAAGATCAAGAGTTGGCCACTTAACCGACTGAGCCACGCAGGCACCCCAAGACTATACTATTCTAATGGGAGAGCTCACCTTCCACTCTCAGTAATTGCCAGATGAAAGATGCCACGCAGTGAGCATACAGTAGATCTCAGCAGCTCAGCCAACAGGCTTGAGAAATGGAGCCGCAGAGAACCCGGCCCCTGACGGGAATCTACGTTCTTCCCAAGCACACGTGGGACATATGATGGAAACCAACCCTGTACAGGCCACGGAGCAATCCTCGGCAAATCCTGAGGAATCCGTTATCACAAAACAGTACAATTCAGTTAGCATGAATAACAAGGTGATAATGGAAGTTTCCAGTCACTTAGATATTTTAAAATGCATGACACAACACATGAACCGTAAAAGTGCTCCTAAGAGAAATGAGAAAATACTACAAATCCAAACTGGTAGATGCATCCAGAGCCACCCTGGGTGTTTGTGGGTTTTCCTTTATTAAAAATAAAAATGTTTCTTATTTAAGCCCAGAAATCCAAGCAGCAGTCCACAAATAATCACATTTTCACCCAATAAAGTACAATAGATAATTTTATTTCTGCTCCCATGCTTTCAGGAATATGTAAATTATAGCATAGCTTAAGAATAAAAGGAATCTAACATCCCATAAAAAACTAGTGAGATGCAGTTACAGTAGCATGGAAAAGAAAAACTTGTAGCCCTAAATGTTGATATTCACAGGTGGCATTCAAAATGCGTCCCTGCCGGAGCCCCAGCTGATAAGGAGGGGCGTCAGGCTAGGCAGCCCCAGTGGTGATGTGCGTGGGTGAATGTTAGGGAAGAGCAGCCACTGCGAGCTCCGTGACCCGCCCGGAAGCGATCAGAAGAGTAAATCCAGAAAGAAAAGAAGGGTGTAAGAAGAGTAAGAAACTGAAAAGCAATGCAGAAGATTGAGAAGGCAAAGCTTGCAAAAAAGATACAATATGCTCATTTCTAGGGACTGATCGTCTTATGGCAACATGTATCTGTGGGAGAGACAGAAAAAGGAAAAAAGAAAAAGTGGACATGGCTAGAAGTGCAGCAGAGATTACAAAACACTAGGAAAAATGTGGCAATATATGTGAAAATGCGAAGTGGCACCTAACACGGTTCAGGCACGCACATGTGGCTGAGGTGTCTAGAAATGTGGGGACCGACGGACGGGGACTGCAAGACGGTGGCGCCTCACTGGGGACAGGAGCCAAGGGAGCTCCGGCTGCGCGGCGGGCACCACACAGCTCTGCTGTTTCCGAAGCACACGCTCCTCCGTGAGGAATTTCAGGAGGAGTGAAAAGTACTATTACCAATGGTACAATAGGAAATCAGATTCTCTCAACTTTTAGGGAAAACATGAATAAAGAAGGAAAAGAAAAAAACAAACACCCAAAGGCTGGGAAGCTAAAATGGCAATCGTACCCCCGTGCCTTTCACCCAACTCTTCAAAATCACACAGGCCCAGACGGCTCACCCGTGTCCCAGCAACTCTCTGAGAGCCAGAACATCCCTTATCTTTTCAAATTATTTAAGAAAATATAAAAATAAGAAAAGATACTCAAATCATTTCATGATGGTATTCTTAGTTCTCAGATCAACAACAGATCATATAAGAAAAGGAAACGAAGGGCCATTTCATTTGTGAATCCAGACATAAACACCCTAAACAAAATACCGACCATTAGTCCCTGTGTTTTTAAAAGTAGGAAAACAAACTGAAAGTGGATCTTTGCATGAGTTCCTGGAGCATGAGGCTTTGCTGCCTGATGAACACACATACGGTGTTCCCGAGGTGCCAGAGCTCTGAGCCCAAGGGCATCTACAAACTCACTCAGATATGGACGACCGACAACCATTAGACGCCAGAGAGCTTGAGAGTTCTGAGAACTGGGGAGGCTGGAGTCTATGGTTCACACTGTAATTGGACAAGAAGCAAATCTGTTATACTCCTCCCACAAGAACAATGAAATATGTATGTCAATGGAAAGGAAATTCCTTTTTTTTTTTTTTTTTTTTAGCTGCGGGGAGGGGGCAGAAGTTAAGGGCAAGAGAGAGACTCTTTTTTTTTAAATATTTTATTTGTTTATTTGACAGAGAGAGAGATCACAAGCAGGCGGGGGGGGGCGGAAGCAGGCTCACAGCTGAGCAGAGAGCCCGATGTGGGGCTCAATCCCAGGACCCCAATATCATGACCTGCGCCGAAGACAAAGGCTGAACCCACTCAGCCGCCCGGGCGCCCCACCAAAGAGACTCTTAAGCAGACTCCATACTCACGCTCCAATGCGCCTAACATAGGGTTCAATCTCATGACCCTGAGGTCACGACCTGAGCTGAAACCAAGACTCGGACGCTTAACCGAATGAACCAGCTAGCCGCCCCAGTGTGAAGGGATTCGAAGCAGTTCGACCATTTCTTAAGAACTATATATCCTGTATTACTGCTGAAGTAGAAACCGATTTCAGTATGATCATCCACAGAGTGAATCTGAGCACCACACAAGGATTTATGAGCAGGACAGTGTGGTCCCTACTACCTTAGGAAACACAGTTTATGTTTTCTGTTCCTGCTACAAAGTCTGCACACCCAGCTGTGGAATATAAGATTAGATGATTCCTGGACCGGGAGAATGGCCCTTCATGAGGATGTGGTGATGTGCTCGGGGACCTCGGCTGACAGCTAATCCAAAGATGGGGACAAGCAGGGCTGCTTGTGGCCACTGTAGCTGCTTCTCAATATTCGTATTCTAAACATTTATTGTCACTTTGTTTTGTTGTTTTTAACCTCAGAATTTCTGGGCATGGAGTGCAGCTTGGTACCTTTCTCAGTTTAAAGCCTTCCTTACATGCACACTCACGGTGTCTAATAACACTAAATAATGGTAAACAGCAGGGAACTGACAGGCTAATGCTGCATCCACTCCAGCAAATGAGGTCGAAACATCTGGATCCAAACGCATTAAAGGGACAAGTTAGCATTAAGGAAACATTTTGCCTCTCAACTGAATTTGCATCCAATCTCAAGATATTTATTAAATTTGTAGCAACTGTGCATTTGGGCTTCAGAGAATAATAATATTCTTAAATATATAAATATTCTCAATATATTTATATGAAATAAAACGTTTTAAAATTCTAAAATAACTTTAAATCCCTGTGGCAGAACTCAAAAGTCTACCTTCTTCTCTAATTGGGACAGGTCAATGAATTTGAATTCTGATTTGCGTTGGCAGCATTTTGCCAGAAGTCGAATTTTCTTCATGAGCTTTCTGAAGTACAGTATTTTTTTTTAAGATTTTATTTATTTATTTGACAGAGAGAAATCACAAGTAGGCAGAAAGGCAGGCAGAGAAAGAGGGGGAAGCAGGATCCATGCTGAGCAGAGAGCCTGATGTGGGGCTCGATCCCAGGACCCTGGGATCATGACCTGAGCTGAAGGCAGGGGCTTAACCCACTGAGCCACCCAGGCGCCCCCCCAGCATTTTCTTTTTGAACCAAAAGCACAAAAGGAAATGAAAACTGATATGTAATTCAGGAAAGGCGATTTTTTAAAAAAATTTTTATTAACATATAATGTATTATTAGCCCCGGGGTACAGGTCTGTGAATCATCGGGCTTACACATTTCACAGCACTCACCATGGCACATACCTGCGTGATGTCCATAACCCAACCACACAGGAAAGACAATTCTTATCGATCATTTCAAAAGTCATTCATTCTACAAGTATTTGCTGAGGGTCTGTTGTGATAAACAGAATGTAGCCAATAAAAAATAAACAAAAAGTTAAAAGATATGTTTACAAGTCCGTAAAATAAAGCTTGTGTATGTCACTTAATTAGATACCGCTCTCTCCGGGATCATACGCAGAGCTTCAGGAGAAAATCCATGCAATCAGACTCCTTTTCTCAGGAATTCAGTCCAGGCCGAGATCAGGTCTTTGCGGCTGCAAGCAGAGGATGTAAACTGTGGTCCATGGGGCCAAGAGAGCCGTGTGCGCACAGCCAGAGTCACGGAGGTGCCAAAACTGAGTGAGCAGAGGAAGCCGGTGGTAGAGAAAGGAGAAAGGAACAGAAGCAAAGGCATTTTGGAAGCACAGGAAGTCCCTGAGGGAGCCGTGTTCCAGGCCACTCTACACTTCCACGTTCAGTTCCTTCCCATTTGGGGCAGCCTGAATGGGAGTCTTTTTCTTTTGATTTAATGGCCATATCTGTAGATGTTTGAACTTATGGCAGAATAAAAGTAGGAAGTGGAACAGGGAGGGAGGCTGTAGAGTCAGACGAACTGACAAACCGAAGACCGAGGTGACAGTAAAGGAGGTAAGATGTGCACCAAACAGAAGAACACACAAAATATGGAAGCCTGAGTCCATCCGGTACTTCTCGGTTCTGGACACGTGGATAGAAGTAAATAACAGAATCAATCAGAAGAGAAGTCCGTGTACCTTCCTATGACTCATGCTCACCTGCCCCCAGTTCTTGTCGGGGGAGAGCCACGGGGCCGCTCTCCTGGGCCAACAGCTCCACTAGCCAGACCCACTCTCACTTGCCTACCAGCAACGAGCGTGTCAGTGACCCCTGCTCTCCTGCACCGTCAGACTTCTCCTCCCAGATGAATCACTCCTATCAGCATGTTAACATGCTGTAATCTCTCCAGTTTAGCTCTGTATCCCCATCCAGTGAACACACCATTTCCTGCGTCTCTTTCAGAACCAAAAACTTCCTCCTTTTCGTCATTGTTGGTGTGGCCAATTCCACTCCTCCTCTTCTCTCTTGAACCACCCCCTTGAATCAAGACTTTGCTCTCAGGACAAGATCAACAGCTACAACCATGTTGCAAAATCTGTGGTCAATTCTTAGTCCTTTGTAATGCAGTACAAAGGATAGAGCATCACTTACAGGTAGTCTTAAAAGTCAAATCTGCATTTCATTAAGCTTTTAAATATATACCACTTTCAATTGACTGTTAAATACAGAGATTATTAGAATGTGTTACACAACATCATGAGAAAATGATGAGGTGACTCCAGAAGGTGGGGCCACCTGAGAGCTTTTCGCTACAACTCCCTGCAGTGAGGAAACCTGTGGTATCTGATACAGCAGCCACTAGACACGTGTAGCTCTTGAGCAACCAAAACATGGTGTGACTGAGAATCTGAATTTTCATCTTAATATAATAATTTATATGTACGCATAAACAAACCAATATTATAAAGAAAAAAATAGAGGCTAGGGAGCCTTCAAGAATAAAAGAATTTTAAGAGACATCACAACTGAGTGTAAATACAATCATAGCTCTGTAAACCAGCAAAAAACATCAGAAAATAAAACTTGTTCTGCTTACCATTACATCAATCAAGATAAAATAATCAATTAAAGCACACTGCACTGTCTAGGTATAAGAGGCATAGTTTAGAATATGTAAATTATACCTCAGTAAAGTTGATGAAAAAATAGATAAAATGTAACAAAAGAGAAGACATCTACATTGAAAACAACAAAACATCACTGAGAAAGAGTATAAACTGAGAGAGATACTATGTTCATGGCATAAATTGAGAGAGATACTATGTTCATGGATGAGATATTTAATAGAGTCTACATAATTGAAACCAAAGCATTGGCAGGAAAAAAATCGTAGCAGACTTTTTATCAGAAACTGACAAGTTACATCTAAAACTTATTGGCAATGCTAAGAATCTAGAAAAGTCAAAACAAACTTGAAGATGCTGACTTCAAAATTTACTTTAAAGCTATAGTAAATAAGACTGTGTGGTTTTGTCATATAAACTAGTAGATTAGTGGACAGAGTCAGAAATACATGAAGAGAAAAGAGCCCAGACATACACGGTCAACTAGTTTACAGTAGAGTGTCAAAGTAATCCAACCGGGAAAGAACAGTATTTTCAAAATATGGTACTGAAACAAATGCATATCATCTAGAAAAACAAACAACTACCTCAAACCATACTCAAAAATTAATTCAAAATGGATCATAAACCTAGATGTAAAGTGATACAACTTTGTACACAGGAGAATATCTTTGATCCTGAGTCAGGCAAACATTTCCTAAAACACAAAAAGCACTAACCATAAGAGAAAAAAAGTTAATAAATTAGAATCTATCAAAATTAAAGCTTTCTTCTCTTTAAGATACCACTAAGAAAATGAAAAGGCAAGTGCAGCCTAGAAGAAGATATTCATAATTTTTTGTGGTAAATTGACCTGACAAAAGACCTTTATCTGGGATCCTTTGCCTCGAGCAATGAAGGCAAAAGATGTCAACAGCACTTCACAAAGGAAGATAGACAAATGGCCAAAAGCACATGAAAATGTGCTCAACCATTAGTCCTCTGGGAATGCAAACTGCAACCAAAATGAAGAAATTCTTCCCACGTTTAGAATGGCTCCATTAAAAAGATCGGTCACACCAAATACTGGTGATCTACAGGACAAGCAGAACTCTCATACCTTGTTCGTGGGAGTGTAGAATGATACAACCACTTCGGGAAATTTTTCAGCAGTTTCTCATAGGACGTAATGTACACCCACCCAACCCCATGTCTAGGTATTTGCCCATGAGAAATGAAAAGAGATGCCCACAAAGAAACTCATACAAGAATGCTCACGGTTGCTTTAATCATAGCTGCCCCCACATGGAAGAAACCCAAGTGGCTATCAGCAGCTGCATGGATAAACCACTTGTGATACAGTCATACAACGGAATGCTCTATAAAAATAAGGAGGACTGAAATGAGGCACAAACCATGAGGTATTATCAGAAGCATTAACTTGAGCAAAAGTAGTCAAGCACAGGGTGCCTGCATGGCTCAGTGGGTTAAGCTTCTGCCTTAGGCTCAGGTCATGATCTCAGGGTCCTGGGATCGAGCCCCACATCGGGCTCTCTGCTCAGCGGGGAGCCTGCTTCCCCCTGCTCTCTGCCTGCCTCTCTGCCTACTTGTGATCTCTGTGTGTCAAATAAATAAAATCTTAAAAAAAATAGTCAAGCACAAATGAGGTCATACTTCGATTCCATTTATATGAAGTCCTAGGATAGTCAAAACCAACTTATGGTGATGACAAATCGAAAGACTGGTTGTCTGGGAGGAAAGGGGGATTGACTTGAAAAGGGCAAGACAGAACTTTCTCTACTGATGAAACTCTCATGTCTCGACGCAGTATGGATTACATGATTGTATACGTTTGTCAAAACTCGTCAAACTATGCCCTCAAAATGTATACATTTTATTGTGTGTAAATTACATAAAAAGCCCCAGAAGGAGTTTGGGTAGAAATTAACAGGCTGATTCTAAATTTTATATGGAAATCCAAAGGGGCCAAGAATATCCAAGGCAGTCTAGGAAAAGAACAAGACTGAAGAAGTTCTGCTGCCAGAAATGAAGCACTATTATAAAGCTGTAACAATGAAGACAATGTGGGATCGGTGCAAATACAGACAGATAAGTGAAACACCACAGGAAGTCCAGAAACAGACCCACACGCCTGATTTATGACAAAAATGACACCATAAATTGGTGGAGAGAGGATGGACTTTTCAGTAAATGGAGCTGGGTCAACTGGTATAAATATTTGCAAAAATTCCATCTTGACCTCTACATACCACACACCAATACCAGTTCTTGGTGGACTGTGCCACCAAATTTAAGAGGTCAAAGTAAAAGGCAGAAAATCCAGGGAAAACATTTAGAAGAAAACACAAGAGGGGTGCCTGGGTGGCTCAGTGGGTTAAGCCTCTGCCTTTGGCTCGGGTCATAATCTCAGGGTCCTGGGATCGAGCCCCACGTTGTGCTCTCTGCTCAGCGGGGAGTCTGCTCCCCCCTCGCTCTCTCTGTGTGCTGCTCTGCCTACTTGTGATCTGTGTCAAAAAAAAGAAAGAAAGAAAACACAAGAGACTCCCCACAATCTGAAGGTAGGCATGTGTTTCTCACACAGGATAGAAAAAGTAATAAGTGCAAAGGAAATGTTTGGTAAGTTGGACCATCAACGAGAGAACGCACGGATTCAACAGTGGTGCATTCACCCAACGGCACACCACACAGTGGCCAGAGCGGGCGACTCTCCCAAATACAAATAAGCCAGACAGAATACATACTGTACATTTCCATTTCTATAAAGTTCAAAAGATAGCAAATGGATGGTGTTAAAATTTAGGATATCGTTTACACTTATGGTGGGAGTGGGCTTGCTTACTCGCTTGGTAAGAATTCATCACGGTGTACAATGCTGATTTGTGTATTTTTCTGTGTTATACATCAACACGTATAAAGTTAAAAACAAAACAAAAACACCTGATTTTCTCCCCAGTCTTCTTCCCTTTGGAATCTTCTACATTTTAGTAAAATGGCAACCCTGTCCAGTTGTTAGGACAAAATCAACGAGGCTGTGCTCAGCTTTTCCCTTTCTCACACTCATCACACACAGTCCCCTGCAAACTGCTGGGCCCGACATCCTTGCCCCCCCACTGACGGCCCCCATCATCGATTGCCTGGACTCCTGTAATGGTCTCCTCACTGGTCTCTCCCAGGCCCACCGGCCTTCTTCCCTTCAAGCTGATCTACACATGCAGCCACAGCAACCACTGTAAAGCAGATGTTGGCTCACCTCACCTGTGTGTTCCAAAGCCTCCAAAGCCAAAGGCCTTCTAGAATGCCCACGAACTGCTCTGGGATCTGGCCCCAACACTCTCCTCCCTGCCCACATCACTCCAGCCAGAGACCTTCTTG